AGCTTTACCTCGATACATTAGAAAAAACCTGAATGAGCACTTTGTAATTATGACATCCAAATCTCTTTAGTCATTGCCGTGGAAAGTACCGAGCAAAGAAACATGTATCAGCCTAAACTAATATGTGTGAATTACAATCTAAAGCCTAAACAAATAATTAAAGAAAAATAACACTGTTTTTTTTTTGGGCTGAGAAGGCAGGTGAGCTCGTATGGGATATTTTATCAATACCAGCCCTTCCTTGTTAAAAAAAATTTCTAATTGTCGAATTAGAAGGACCAGCTCATTCTATGTACAGTTTAGTTTACCATTTCTTAGTTCATAATAACACCAATTCTGCCACGTCTCATATATAAAATGGATTCCCCCCCCCCCCAACAAACCGATGCCATATTGCAATGAGTTTCGTATCCAGAATCGTAGAGAATTGAGCACAACTCAACATAATTCAAAATATTGCCTATTTTATCATGCTCCCTGTACAATGTTTAAGGGTAATACTTTTATTTGTAAACTACCACACCTACTGTTGGCATTGGCTGGTGAGCATTTTTGTAGTAATGAGTGCACAAAACACAAACAGAGAGAACTTGGCGTTTGCTTTCATTGTCGGACGTCTTAGAATATGCGGCAATAACTCACATCCGATCCAGCCAAACTTCAGCCGAGTCCGTGATTTCTGGAATGGTACATTATTATTTAGTATACACATTATCTGTAATAACAGCTTCTGAGTAAATATATGAGTACATCATATTTTCTTCATCTGCTACTTTATACAAATTAAGCATCTGCAACACTCTAACTTTCATTTAATGATAATTATAGCAAAATGGTGCCAGGGCAACATATTGTATTACCTCTAAACAAATTTCTTGGCTAATAGCTAAATGCACACAAACATACAGCTTAACACAACAAGTCAAGACTTAAAGTCTGTTTCAAGCCCTATAGATATCATGATTCCATCAGGTCAAAGTTCACGGATGACCTATTTATTGAGATACCAGTACTATTGCTCATCGGTTGGTTGCGCTTGAACCTGCGGATACTGCCCCTTCTGGGCTGGATAGGCTGCATAAAAACAGGAAAGGGAAAATGGAAGAATAAAGTTTTAAAGGATGAGACGATCAGAGTATGAAAAAACGGCTTACATATTGTGAAGACTTTAAACTACCAAATGGCGGCATGTGAATGACCACAAGCCTCGGAGTTTGATATCAGATCAGTATTACTAGGCCTCTACCTTAACATATTGAAAAAAAGACATTTCTTACCAAATTATGGTTGACCGATGGGTACTTTGTAGAAGGCCGGTCCCTGGGGCTGAGTGGTAGCTACTACCGTGTGGTTGAGGTTGGTAGTGGATCTGCTCATGCCAAAAGAATTCGGTTTTTATTAGTAAGTTTCTTAAAAAAAAACATATCATCAAAAATTAAATATGGATTTGTTTCAATGGATCAAGTACATGTCCACAGATCATTCCTTTCATCGTCCAAATATTTGTTAACGCTGTAACATAAATTGGAAAAATGCGATTAGGGCCTATTTTGCAAAAAAGAGTACGTCTTTTCTTCTAAAAAAAAACAGGTTGTACGCTTCAGTGTTAATCCATAACGTGAAAACTATAAACAGAAGATTTACGACACAGTAAAATTGAAGTGCTTTCGAAGGAAAGCAGGTCAAAAAAAGAGTAAAAGTTCTAGCAGCTCATGTTGGTAAGACTGCTTGTGTATACACCATACAGTACCTAGGTTTTAACTCAACTGACTTCACTCTGGATTGCAAGCTTTCCACTGGAGTTTGTCTCCAAATCCTATCTTACACGATGGTATATGATAACCTTTCGGAGTTGCATTTACTAGAGACCATCGCAAATCCACCATGGCCCTCCGAAAGTAATCACAAGGCAACAAGTACCAAGTGAAGTAACAATAAGCACTTTGTGACAAAGGCATTTCAATATGCCATTGTCACCCCTATGTACCAATTGTACTTGTGAGTCGACTTAATTATTGATGGACCTGTGATGGACTCTTCTACAAAAGCGGTGAAGATATATAAACAATGCAGATACTGAGGTAATTCGGTATGACACGTTACGTACCACAGTCTGAGTTGCTGATCCACCGCAACAGAGTAGACCGCAGGTCAAGCTGGCACCAACTATGGCGACAACAAACTCCACTAAGGCGAGAATTATCACTGTACCATAAACACCATTCACGGCCAACTGCACAATAATAATCCCGAGAATTAATGTATTTTTAACATTCACACTTAATCCCACTTTTAAACCTAAATATCTATGTAGGTAATTTTGAAAATCCTTTAATTTCATCATATCTTTTGAATCACAAATCGCTGTTTAGAGAAAATGTAAAATAAAAAACTACCGTTAGCATGATTCTTAATTAATTATTATAACACCCCAAGAGTAAAATCAACGACGAAATAGTCGCTTAGGGGAAAAAAGTGCAGAAACCATCGTAATTGTCGAGGAAAGAAACAAGGAAACATTTCTCATTAAATGGAATTAAAGTTTTACCTACCTTCAAATCACAGCTGTAAATCACTGCGTTATAACTATCGTAGTGGTAATCCGAAAAGCAGATTATATTGATGGATGCCATCACATTAGCCCCAAAACCAATGACGCAGCACGCAGCCAGACAAGCCAAGATGGACATGATCATGTAGCCGATAGCCTGTGCAGATAAATCGCAAATCCTTTTAAAAAATCTTTAATATTAATATGTTTTGGTTCATCGTTATAAGTAGTCTCAGGTCTGCAATTAAAGTGGTCCTGTGTTAATGTGTATGCCATAATACATGCAAAATGTCGAAGTAAGATTGTACCCGTCTGTTGTCATTTCTCTTTCTGAGGAACTCCACTTTAAGGAAGCGAACCCAAACCCCACACTGCAAAGTATTATAATTCACAATAAGAATAGCTTACCACTCTGGAATTCTTCTTCCATCCAGACACTATGCCCAGGATTCCAGCAACGACATAGAACTATATAATAAAAAAAAAGTGTAAGCAGGGGTATAACCACTCAAACATCCACATGATCATTGGCCTGGTATTGGACACCACTGCAGCATTAACCTGTCCAGAGAGTGTGGTATAACTTAAACCTTCTGTTTGGACACAACATGTCATTGTACACCGTAAAACCTTTTTGTGTGCAGAGCACGCTCTATTTTGTGACATGCTTCAGAATATCGTGCCTTAAAATGCTTTTCCTCTGTGAGGAAAATGACCAAAACCATCCCAACCCAACCCAACCAAACCCAACCCAACTCAACCCCCAACCTAACCCAACCAACCCAACCCAACCCAACCCAACCCAACCCATAACCCAACCCAACCCAACCCAACCCCAACCGAACCAAGCACAACCACATTCAAACACGTTTGCTTATGGTGTAGATCGATGATTTCTATTATTCCTCATCTCTTTTCCTTTGTTTATACTCTAACCTTTTTTTGCAACTTACACCTCTCATCGGTTTTGTACACGTTTTCTAATCAAGGGGTCCTTGATTTGGTTCCTGTCCTCAATTCATCGATGATGTTGCACAATGTGTATCCTCGATTTACACCATAAACTAACAAACACAAATTCGACCAAGTGTGTAAACACACCCAATCGTGGACCCCCTCTTTTGTTTGTAACATTTTAGGAAAATATCTTATGTTTTGTACCCGATCGTCAATTCGTCATCGGTACCACGAACTGACACTGTGAAAACGCCAGAAGTGAGTCGCGCGTATCACGTGACATTTGTGTCACTTCGTGGAAACGCAAAACCCGTTTTTTACGCGTAGTGTGCTGGCACTTTACACGCGAAAGAATGGTATAGTACACTTCGTGAAAACGCATTTTCCGGTTTTGACCCATTAAGTTGCAAATGTTAATTAATGTTTATTAATGTTTTGACAAAACTAATTAACTATGTGCTTAGTAACTTCTTGAGGTGATAGATTATGTGTAATTAATCACAAATCAGGAAAAAAATCGAAATCGCAAAATATCGATTTTTCGAGGTTAGTGTCACTTCGTGGTGACGGTGACGCAGTTGTGCGTGAGTGCGCTGCACGCGCGAGTTTTTAAAGAACCAGGTTATTTTGTATTGTAAGATGGAATCTTATAAGACGGGTTATTTTGGGTTTCACGAACTGACATCCTCCACAGTGCGGCTCTTTTAGAGCGCCCCCCCCCCTACATTTCCGGTTTCACGAATTGACACTGACCTTATTTTCACCAATTAAAACGCCTTTTAATTGAATGTTTGTGTAAGCACACAATATACGGATGGATTACATGCCTGTAACACGTTTCAAACCTTTCTCCGTTCTGTATTGCCGCATCATGCTTGGGTGTCAGTTTGTGAAACCGAAATTGTTGATTTTACACGTAATATCAACAATTTCGGTTTCACGAACTGACACCCATTTTCACGAACTGACGCCCACTTGCGCGTGAGTGTCAGTTCGTGGTGCCGATGACGAATTGTGGACCTTTGGGAATTGCGGACCCTATTCTCCTATATTGATCAACGTCTTTTATTGAATGCAAAACAAACTCAAACCAACCAGGCTGAACCAGCCCAGCCCAGCCCAGCCCAACCCAACCCAACACGTCCCCACCCTACCCAAACACAACCCATCCAATCCCAACTCTGGCCAACCCAACCCAACACACACATAGTCGTGTTTTACTATATTCATGAGGACCTGCCCCTTTTCTTCGTTTGTACACGAAATTCTCCCGAGGACTAGTGCCCAGGTACTAGGTCCTCGGGCAGCGTCGGGCCCATTGTTATCGCTTTGTCCTCAGTCCTCAGTCGTATATGATAACCTGTACAGCACAACCCAATACAATACAATACAGAACAACACACATGCACATTACAACAAGTAAACGGCCATCCTCCATACAAACGATCAGCGTTGAAATACGCGCTGTATTCACACACAGATGGGTATAGGCTAATGCATACACCCTCGACTTACTGAAACCATAACTCCTAATAGAAACGGGTACTGAACATAGTAACTGTACCCAATGTAAATTTAGTTTGTCTGCTTGCTGTAGAAACCAAATATTTCTGCTTGCGAGAAAAATGTATGTACGTACTTTTCGAATTCAAAACGACAGCAATTGCACTTCGGGCACACTGACTATGTCAGACATCCATTAAAAATAGCTGTACATGCGTTTTAGGTGGCCGATTCGCTCGGCCAGATGGCATACGGGGCAGTCTATTCGCCTGTCACTCACGAAGTTTGTTCAGAAAGTAACTGCACAGCTAGTTGCTGTCAATTCTAGTGAATATTTAAACCAAATTTGAATGAAATTCACAACAATTTTATGTACGTACTTTTCATTACCATTAATCAATCTGAAGTTGATCGACTGTACAATCGGCGAATAACCCAATTTTAGCTTGTGTGTGCGCCGGGTGTGTGTGCGCGCGTGCAATTCACTCGCCGCGCGCGTGCAGCTTGTTTGTCACGCGCGTTACTGCATGCTGATGGCTAATGGTCATTTGTTTACTGCGTTTGCACATGACTAAATCATGTCACCGCGTTGGCACTAAATGTGTATTCATTACTTCCCAAATCAGTGCGCGCTGTAATTGGCTGTATGTAAATGAAATGATGATATCACAGCTCATTAAAGAGGTTGTGGAATGCTCTAAGACATTTCCGTCATTTTTCGGGTATATGTAGCCTAAGGTGTGATGAAATAAAAACGACTATTGTTTCTGTCATGAAATGAGTACAAAAGGTACTTTTGAGAGCTGTTTTCAGGTCCAGTTTCGACCCGAACGTGCAACTGTGTAAAAGTCGTCGTTGCGGGCAGCAAACAAAACACAGTAAATCGTGACGTAATAAACAGGACTCCCGATGCACAGTAGCATACACGAGTCCTGTTTATTACGTCACGATTTACTGTGTTTTGTTTTTATTTCATCACTACATATACCCGAAAAATGACGGAAATGTCTTCAAGCATTCCACAACCTTTGAATATTAAATCGTTTTTTGTAATGAACACAGATATTCATCATTACGACACAAGATCGTCAAATAAGCTTCATCTTAATAAAGTTAGAACATCTCTACACCTCTCAACTGTACGACACCAGGGGCCCCTCCTTTGGAATAAAATTCGATCTCTCTGCCCAATGACCTCAATTAGAGCATGTAAATTGTATATAAAAAACTACTTCTCTCTACGGTTAATGTCAATGGTGATTAAGAGCAAAATTATTACTTTATTGCCAAGTAAAATTATTAACAACACATGTAAAGTCAAGGATGGTAAATTTCCCTCAAGTAACTTATTCTTTTTTTTTTGGAAAGTTTTGCATGAGCTCGTGAATTTAATGTAATGTAATCACATATTATTGATATATCCTATGATTATTCATGAATTGTATAACTACATGTATTCTTTGTGAAGGGGGCAGACCTAGTACAAGCTTCGGCTTCTTGTCTGGCCTCCCCATACTATCATGACTATTATTTCAAAGTTTCGTTAAAATGTTTACCTGATGTATATTATTCAACTGAATTACCTTATAGTATGGAAATAAACCTGAAACCTAAACCTGAAACCTGAAATTAAAACCTGAAACCTCTTTAAAGTTTGTCACCTCGCCCGTGCGTACTTGTTGTATTGAATAAATGAACATACAACCCTACTACACAAACAGCTCAATATCGACCATTACAATATCAATCAGCACTGTCTATAAACAAGAGTGACATATATGTTTCATACTTACTAAGATACCACACCAAATAGGAGATCCGATATCACTGACATAGAACACACGTTTGAATACTGTCATGGTCACAATCCCCAGGATGGTCGTCAAGGAACCCAAAACCACTTGAATGACTCCTGTCCATAGAATACCCGTCCAGTTACCACTTCGAGGCTGTGGAGCGGGTTGCACCGTCTCCTGGGCATGATACAAGAAGTAGAATATTGGGTTATTTTATATGAAAATGTTGAGGTGGGAGTGCTATAAAGCGATAAACAATCATTAGTTGAGGACAAAAAGGTTTGATAATACCAAGCCATTTTCTGTCGGAGGGGTGTTCTTTTAAACTACTGGCCATTCTTAAGTTGCCCTGGGTCGGATGGGAGTCAGGGGAGCAAGGTCAATGTTAAACATTTTGACTTTAATTAACATGTTTTTTGATAGTGTTGAGATTGACCACTTACACCAAAAATGCTACGAAAATGGAAAAAAGGTCGCACAATGTTACTTAAGAATGATTTAAACATTTAAACGTTTATTTCATTTAATGCAATGGATACGTATATCCTCGGTAATAGTGCAAATGCTTTATGTCCATTGTTTTGTGACCAAAGAATATTCATCCCCCTACTTTGCATTGTCGCTCCATTAATTTAATTGTTCTTATGCTAAAATTACTAGTCCGAAAATCTAGGACTCTCAATGCTGTGTATGAGAGTCCGAAAACGTAGGGTTTTAAAACATGCAAAACAAAATAAATATAGACTGGCACCTGAAACAACCAGTCCAATAAATAAGGCCTTAAGTCCTGCATCAATTGACTGTGCCTGAATAAATATCTGGCACGTCTGGTGTTAGTCTCTATGTCTTCACATTTCTCCTTAGTCAGCAACCAGACTAATGACAATGAATGAAGAGGTCAGTCTTTTCAAACAGTTGGACCATGGTTGGACATGATCTAGTCTAGTCTTTAGCCTCATCTTGAAATCATTTGACGGAAAGAATGTTGCAACCTGACGCTGTTTTTTCTTCATATATCATCTCAATGAAGGTCAGTAGAAGGTCAAAAATGATAAGCATGAATTTGGAACTGTCATGGAGTGTCATGGCCTAGCGGTTAAGAACACCGGACTCATGTTCTGGTGTTTCAGAGGCAACAGTGAAGTGGGTTCGAGCCCGGGCGCGGACACTTGTGCCCTTAAGCAAGGCACTTAACCATTATTGCTTCGTCCTTCGGATGGGACGTAAAGCCGTAGGTCCCGTGTGTTGTATAATGTCTAATGCACGTTAAAGAACCCAGTACACTTATCGCTAAGAGAAGGGGCTCGCCCCGGTGTTTCTGGCAGTGCGATTATCTTCAGCCATGAAGTCTGCACTTGTAAGGAAGGAAGGAAGGAAGAACTGAGAAACATTTCCAATTAAGTACCGTTCAATTAGAATACAAGATTACGTAAAGGCACCTATCAATCTCAAAACACATTAGGCCTACTTATCTAATGGAAGTGATGGCTTAAAAAAATAAACAGATTTTGACTGATATAAACCTCTATTTACTCACAATATAGGCCCAATTTGAGTGTTCACGTTTCACACGTTCATATTCTGTGAGCAAGAAAGGCAGGTGTAGTAGGCTGACTTACCAGTTGTTGCTGGCCGACGGGCTGAGGCGCAGCCACGTAGGCAGGTGGGGCGCTAGGAGCGGTCATCATCGTGACAGAAATTATCTCCGGATTCTCTGTAAATCAATTAATCAATCAATCAATCAATCAGTCAGTCTGTCTGTGGGTCCGATTATCAATATTTGCTCGTACTATTTCAAACGTGACTTGTGAAACGTCAAGAGTCAAAGCAACACAGTCTATGTTCCAGTGTGCATTTTGAATGGTAAAGAAACATCAACTGGAAAAGACTGTCTCTCTCGTAAGGCCCGAATAAAGACCTGCTTTTTCCTTTCGTCAAGAGGTATACTTTAGTGGAAAAACAAAGTGCAAACAAACGCAATCGTTTTACCTTTACGCTGGAGCGTTCCTATTTCCTCAGCCGTCCTCACAGCCTGACACGGCGTTCTGTACAAAGCGCATACCGACTGTGCTTGCTATGCTCAGACAGTAGTTTTGCGCACCTGTTCGTGCTAAGAATGGACGAGGCGAAACCGAGTGTCTTGTGGAACGAATCTACACTTCCGGGTCTATTCGCCCAGTTAATATATTTCTAAATACAACAATAGTTCATGCAAATAAGATCCCTGGTTTACCGCAATCTCCACGTTTGTGAATAAGTGTAGATTTGTACAATCTATTCAACTCTGCCTGGCCCAGCGCTTGATTGCATCGTGACAAGATCCTATTGATAACCCTTCGGTTTGGGTGCACATCTTTTGTTCCATTCATCATGCGGCACGTTGATCCGTCCTACAGAATTGCAAGGAAATGCATGAACGCCACAATCAAATTAAACAAATCTATTGCTTAAACAGTGCTTTCCATCGTATCAACAATCTCAAAGCCTTTTACAATTATTCCCCACTTAATCAGGCCACGGGACCACACAGCAGCCGATATCAGCGAATATTCGGTCCTCTATACCCGAACAGCAGGGGGGTACATAGCCTTTAGATTTTATTTTGACCCCCCCCCCAGACAAAATGTTTCCTTGCCCCCCGAAAAAAAAAATAATAATAGTGATAAATCGTCACCCCCAAGTCGACACCACCCCCACCCCCCATCCCGGACATTGGCGATCGGAGGAAATCAAGAAAATCACAAAACCATAATTAGCAGATTTAACATTCAAATTGTAATTTATTTTCTGGCGAAACCCTGTTTCGGGCGATTGGGTGTTTATTATCACCTCCCGTGAAACGACCTATTGTTTGACAATGACAATGAATTCGGTTTCGAAAAAGCGTCCCAATTGAAAGGTGGAACCATTGGAACAGGAGGCTAACGCAACTTGAGTGTTTATTCAATGAGTGCCAGTGGTGTGCTCACAAACACTGCCTTGTGGGGTACCGGAACAATGATATATAGTATCCCACAAGGAATACCCAGCGACTTGCGGGGTACCGTTTTGGTACCCCGCAAGTGTTTCAAGAATAGATATATGGATTTTACTCAAAAACTACGAATTTCCAGGGTGGATTGATCCGTAGCAAATGGAAGAGTTTTAGAAAAGGGATATTAAGTCCGAATTTCAGCCAAGGAAATTAACTATGGTTAAAATAAGAGCATTTTGACATAAATGTGCGACGTTGCAAAAATTTTAGTACACGAGAACAAAGGAAGTACCCCACTTCTATGCCTATGTAATCGTGGGTGCACGCGCGTGTGCGATGAAGTTACTAAACGAACCGGATAAGTACTCATCAGTACACTTGGATGGAGCCAAAAGAAAGGCAGGCGGCATGTTTAGTCTGGTTCCCTAGACCTGACAATTATTCCCGACGCTCACGTCCAAATTGTAGGTCAGGCAGCCTCCGTGGTTAAAAATAAACATTATGACATTGACGGCCCTTTTTAAAAGCTCGGATTCGTTTCCGATTTCGCTTTATCACATAGCTTTTAATGTTCTCATCAAATTTGTAAATAAGTCACTTACTTCGTAATATCATACAGTTCTGATCATACAGTTTGATATTTCTGTAGGATAAAACTGACTAATGTCAAAATTAGGCACCCAAATAGCACCGTTAGCAGGCGGAGCCGAATGAAGACCGAGTTTTGGAAAACCTCGGTAACGGTCGTCAAATTCACAATAATACATGACGCAGCAAAAAGTTCGTCCTTACGATCCGAGTATACTTGATGCCCAAAATCTTCGTTGAATTTCCAGGTTTCTTAATGAAAGCAATGAATATTAATTATTAACTCCTTTAAAAAAGTTTTTAATAGGCAATAGCAGTTAATGTTATACTCGGAAATACTCGGGTGCTATCCGATTGTCGACGAAATGAACTCTGCAAACTTCGGATATTTTCGGAAAAAAGGAGAGGTCCTCCCGTTTTAGCCACGTGACGTAACTTGTAATACAATGTATTACCGGAGGCTACCGGACCGAAGATTCATCAGGAATAGTCAGAATCTGTTGCTCTGGGAACCAGGCTAGCGACATGTCGTAGACTGGTACCCGGTCCCTTTATTCTTGCCTGATGTTTACAGGCTTTTTAAATTACACGCTGACCTCAGGTGAATGTAAACGATTGTACACATGCTGTAAGTTTACATAAAACATGTACGGAGCTACAAGACTGCGCAGAACTGATGAGGTTTCGTGGGTCGATTACTTTATTTTGTCAAGGCAGGACGAAAACTCTTCACAATATACAAGTAAAAGAACGTAATTCAAAAGCATGCAGTTCAAGAGTTTTAAAATCATTTATTGACCGGAATTTAGGGCGATCAGAATCAAAAGATTCCCTTTATTCAGGTCTGCATAAAAAGAAACATTGATAACAACTAAAATGAACGTGATATGTTGATTTATCTAATATCCGGATAAGTTTTAATACCCTTTACCAAATGTAGTTTCTTAAGACTAAAGGACATTGTGGTATACAAGGCATCCTATAAATGATGCAAACAAAATTAACTGACATGTAATCAAACAATAATTACTCAAGATAATTTTTTTTTTAAATCAGCTTGTCATCGGGACATATTATTGTCATTTGCTCATTGATACATTAGCAAAACCAAAGTAAGTGGACTGTGTATATGTAATAGACAAATCTGAGTATATTTTTTTACTAATATAAAAATGTGAATTTCAAAGCTCTATGCAACTACTTAAAGAAAATATAACAATGTATAAAATTACGTGCGCGAATTGTTGTTAAAGTTAAGGGCCGGGGAACTGGTTTAAATAAAGTCATACCAGCTAAATCAAGTCTGCAATCTTGAAGTTTGTTGTTGCTGCTACATTAGCATTTGCCTCAAAATGACCGAAGTTACCCATTTGATTGGTATGCGTTGTACAGAGAACTGTTTTTTATTTTATAATCATACAAATTCCGCCAGGTCAAACATAAAACAAAAACCCCTTTTAATGCCAAATTGCTATAGATTTCATGTCTAGAACCTCTAACAATTAAACACCAACTCCATATTCCAAATATGGCCTATTAAGCTGCCTTCATAATGGGCCATACCTTATTTGTAAAAGCGGCGAACCCGCAGTTGGCATTGGCTCGTGAGCAGTTTTGAAGTTTCGAATGCATACAATGAGTAGAAAGAAAGTGGCTTTGGTTTTCAGGCATTGCTGGATGTCTTTGAATATACGGCAATCCCATTAAACCTAACCTCCTAGTGTTTAAGTCGGCAACTCAAACATAAAGCGATTTTTTTTGCAGCCGAGGCCGTGATTTCGAGAATGGCACATTATAAGTGTATTAAATAAATACATTTTTAGTATTGTAACAACAGCTTTTAAGCGAATATCTGAGTACCCTTTTCTTCATTGACTACTTTATAAAAAATAATCATGCCAGCGGCATTCTAACTTTCATTTGAGGACAATTATTATATTGGAGCCAGGGCAACATTATACCTCTAAGCATATTTCTTGACGCGTGACAGCTAAAAGCTAAATGTACAACCACACACAGCTTACCATGATTAGGTCAAGACGTAAAATTCTGTTTCGAGCACTTATATCATGATTCCATCAGGTCAAAGGTCATCGATGACCTAATTGATGAGTTCTTGGGACTGTTGCTCACCGGGTGGGGGCGCTTGAGCCTGCGGATACTGTCCCTGCTGGGCCGGGTAGGCTGTATCAAAACAGGAGAAGGGGAAATTGGGAAATGAAGTTTTAAGGCTGAGACGACCACAGTAGGGTGTTATACTTTCTTTGAACACATACACAGAGGGAAAGACAGCTTATAGATATTGTGAAGATTCAAAAAACGAACCGAAAAGGCTACATGGGAGAGACCACAAGCCTCGCAGTTTGATATCAGATCAGTATTACTATACCTTAACATAATTATTCAAAAACAGACATCTCTTACCAACTTGTGGCTGACCAGCAATGTTGTAGAAGGCCAGTCCCTGGGGCTGTGTGGCAACCACCACGTGTGGTTGAGTTTGGTAGTGGATCTGTCATTATCAAGAAAAGTTATGTTCCATTGGACAGTTTCTTTAAATATATCATCATGTAATTAAATCCCTAGCACTGCACCACCTGGCAAACGCACGTGTATTTGTCACTGCTCCCATAGCTCAACACTATTTTTACCTCGAATACTTTCTTTCACGATCCCAAACACCTGTGTATTATCATTAATTTAATATTTTCCTTGTTTTTATTATTGAAGTGTCCAGTTCTTGATTTCTGAGCAAATCCAAAGGTCGATGGGGGGTCTACCTGATGTTCCCCAATACTGATGTTCCCTAATACCGATGTTCCCCGAAATCCTTAGGATTTGGGTTAGGGTTAGGGTTAGGGTTAGGGTTATAGGGTAGGGATTTCGGGGAACATCGGTAGTGGGGAACATCGGTAATGGGGAACATAGGTATGCACCCGGTCGGTGGGCATTATCGTTTTAATCCGAGTACTTGTTTCTGCCTTTAACAACTTTAAGCAACTTTATGTCTAGAGAGCGGAAACAGCATTCGTCTTTCCAAAAGTTGGTCTACTAGATTAATCAGTGCTAGTCCATGGAATGAAACGGTGGGGACTCGAGAATAAGTAGATTTTTGTTAAAATAAAGTGAAAATTGCTCTCGAAGGAAAGCATATCAGCAGATGGAAACGCATGCCTAGAGACATACGAGGTAATAACTGCTTGTGTATACATATTACGATACCTAGGTTATGCATTATGAACAAGACAGTGTTTTTCTAAACTTCAACTGGACTAATCTTCAAAAGCATTACACATTATCAGTTGGTACAACAGTCAAAACTCCCCAAAAGCCCATGACAAGTTTAATCACATGACATCAGGTCCCACGTCTTGTCACAATAATTAGGTCTTTGTTATGCGCATTTCTATGTCATTATTTGAGCCTCTTACTTGTAAACTGGACATTTGAAAATAAAACTTAAATAAAACGTTATGCTCGTTGGCCTATAGCGCCAGTGGCGCACCCAGGATTTGGCTTGGGGCCCTCACAATTTTTTTTACATTTTTTATAAGTTATATTAAAAAAGAAATTGCCCCACATTTCTGTGCAGTATGCATAAGGATGGTCATTTTTGAAGAGCGCCCCTATTTGGAAGATGGGTACCAGCCCCCTCCCCTCCCCTTTTTTTAATTTTACGGAGGGCAAGTGTCCGGAGAAAAAAACCACACACATGACTACATTTCGGCGCGGATGTGCCGTTGCTCCCCCCCCCCCCCCGGCCCGCCTTCCCCCACATCAAAAGCTGGATACGCTACTGGTTCGAAACCACGCACCACCGTACATGAATCAAACAAGGCGTAATCACCGGACTATGGAATTGTACTATAAATATGCAATTGACTGCAATTGACTGTCATTTACTAGTTGTGGATCAAAATTAATGTATATTCAAAACAATGCTGATCCACAGAGAATATAGTTTGGTGTTGTCACAACACGGTACGTACCACAGTCTGAGTTGCTGATCCACTGTTGCAGATTGGACCGCAGGTCATGCTGGCACCAAACATGGCGACGATAAACTCCGCTAAGGCGAGAAGTATCAGTGTAGAATATACACCATTGATGGCCGCCTGCATAAAATCATTGCAAGAGATAATGTGTTATACCTCGTTACAACTGACATTGTAGTAACCAACGGATAATGTATCACCAACCGATAATGTCACACAAATTGACCGATACTGTATCACTAACCGATAATGTAACAGAAATTGACCGATAGTGTATATAGTAAATGTTACTACACTAGCTATCGGTCAATATTTGTTACATTATCGGTTAAGACAGATAATGTAACAACAATCGACTGATAGTGACACTATTGTCAATTTGTGTGACATTATCGGTTGGTGATACATTATCCGTTGGTTACTACGTTATCAGTTGTAACATACCTTCACACTTCAAAGGGCCCACATTTCAAAACATATGTCAACCTTCAAGGGCCCACATTTCAAAACATATTTCAACCTAAATACCTTTGCGGTACGTACATTTCGGTTTGTTATTATGTACATAATTAAAAAAAAAAACAAGTTCATCATTAGTTTTAATTACCAATCGCTGTTTTGGAAAACAAAATTCATGCAAAAAGCATTATTTATCGTCATTCTCAATTACTCAATCTAGCATATTAAGAGTACAATCTACGACGGAGGACTCGCTTAGAAATAATAGCTGTAAAAAGATAGAACCCTTCATGATTATCGAAGGCAAGAACGAGCAAATATTTCTCATTAAGGAGGATTAAAGTTCTACCCACCTCCAATTCACAGTGCGGGGAACTGTTTCCGTAGTAATCATAACCATTACTCGTATAAGGCGGATATCTGCAGTGCAAATTGATGGTTGCAATCCTGGCAGCACCAAAACCAATAACGCAGCACGCAGCCAGACAAGCCAAGATGGACATGACCATATAGCCAATAGCCTGTGCAGAAAAATCACAATTCCTTCAAAATCTCCTGTCAAACAATTGTACGTAGCTGAAAGCGGTTCAGACATTAAATGGTCCGGTTTGAACCTGCAAAATATTTTACTAGTTAGTATATTCTTCCTTTTTTGAAGAATTTTCACTTGAAGGAAGCAACACCCAAACCCCACACTGCCCATACGCAATCCCCTAACAATAGCTTACCACTCCCGAATTCTTCTTAAATCCAGACACTATGCCCAAGATTCCAGCGACGCCATAGAACTGTCGAAAACAAATAAGGCTGAAGTTAAATTGCCGTCCGGAAAGAAAGTGGCCAGAGCTTCGATAAAGGCTAGGCCTATCCCTACATCTAATAATAATAATAATAATCGCAGTGCTTATATAGCGCCATATCAGGCCATGATACCACGCAGCAGCCGATATCACGTATCAGTGCTCAATCGGTCCTCGACCCTCACACAGGTACCCATTTATACTCCTGGGTGGGGAGAGGCAATTGTAGTGAAGTGTCTTACCCAAGGGCACATGCAAGCATATGTTTCTGGCAAAATTCGAACCCACGCAACATCGTGCGTGAGTCAAACACCGTAACTACTTGACTACATGGCCTTCTAAGGACCATGGTATGGTGTTCTATAGACGCCAAATCTGCGTCGCGTCGTGCTTTCACGTCGTGCCGTCGCGTCGTACCGTCGCGTCGTGCCGTCGTCCGTCGCGTCGTGCCGTCGCCCGTCGCGTAGTGGCGTCGCCCGTCGCGTCGTGCCGTCGCCTATTAAATTACCGTTTCTAAGCACGTACACTGCATGAGGAAGCGACGCACCTTCACACGTCGCGTCGTGCCGTCGTGCGTCGCGTCGTGCCGTCGCCCGTCGCGTCGTGCCGTCGCCTGTTACCTCGGCGCTTCTAAGTAGACTGCTTGAAGAGGCGACGCACACATTGCCCGTCGCGTCGTGCCGTCGCCCGTCGCGTTGTGCCGTCGCGTCGTACCGTCGCCCGTCACGTCGTGCCGTCGCCCGTCGCGTGACTGTATCTTTCTTGGCAATAGGTGGCGCCTTCATTCTTCATGTACTTGTGTTTAATAGGAAGGGGAGTAATCATACATGTCGCCACTACATTTTAAGTTAAATGGAATGGAGTTTGGCCGCCACCATGCATTAAAGTTTTTATCAGACTTGTGTTTTCTTTAAAAGAAGTAGTTTCTGGCTAGGAAAATAGCAAGGAAGAACCGGTTTTGTGCGAGCAAAATTCAGGGAACAATCTGTTGATAATAATAACTTGTTGGAAAGTTCCAAAGTCATTCCAAGACAGTTGCCACCGTGAATAAGAGTTTAAAACAAGGGAGGAGGATGGGATTTGCTATCAGCATCAGCAGGGCCGTTCCTCATTCTTTTCTTTTTATGGGATGTATGATAAAATTTGAGTGCGAGCTGATGAATCTTTTTGAAAACATTGTATTTGCAACCAGCTAGGGAAGATTTCCGTTTATTTAAGACTTAGAAGCACTGGTATGGATACCTGTGTAAGTATATGACTAAACTGCCTAGAGCGTATTTGTTAAGGTTTTTTTCTTTTTTGGAAATTCAATACGCATAATTATAGGGAGTAACATCAGTTCCACTGCTGGGTTGCGGTGATGGGTGGGTTACAACTTGTCAACACATATTTCGCCAGCGGGCCCATTAGATTGGTGATAACCGGAGAGCGGGAGTTTCAAAAAACTCATCCGGTGTTTAGGCGACGCAGGGACTGGTTTGTGTACATGTGGTTTTTGTTTCTAGTTCACTTAATGATTTGATTTATACCGGTGATAATATGCCACCTGTTTTTTCTTTTTTGTGTGTCGGGGGAAACAGTGCATATTTTCTGTGCCCTTTTTACGCACTTCATCAGTCACCCTTTGTTTAATTCTTTTATACGTATTTACTTTATTGCTAATGATGGTTAAGAATATTTTACGCGTTAGCATTTCTTGTAATGATCAGATTAAGTGGATTCCTTATTTTTTATTTTTATTTCGAAATCCATGCCTAAATGACCATTATGTTAGTTCTGTTTCTTCAAGAAGTTCCGATAGGACTTGTACGTTCTCCTCATCCAAGTTTTTTTTTTCTTGGTTGGATGGTGGAGATGGGTTAATCCTTGATCGGACCAGGCCATCTTTTATGTTTTTTGTCGTTTGTATGCCAGGATGGGTTGGGTCGCAAAGAGTGCACTGAGAAAATCATTATCGCTGATCAGATTCCAGTGTTTCAGAAGGGCCTGCTTAAGAGCTGGGTGTTTAATTTGTGGGTGGTAGGGTAAAACAAAGACCAGCGGGATATTCTTTTCGGTTTTTGCACGCTTTTTAGAGTTCACGCGAGTTTCGCCTTTTTGGAGAAGAAGGGCCAAGGGCGGATCCAGAACACAATTTTTTTGGATTCTAGATGCTCTGTGGTGCGATCTGAGGCAATTTCTGACCACTTTAACCAATGTTTTTTTGAGGAAAAGATGGTGGTGTACTCATTGCCTGCCTTTATTGCGATGTCACATAAAAAAAAAATGGTTTCGTTTTTTTGGGGGGGGCATGGCCCCCTTTGGCCCCCCCCCAGGATCCGCCCTTGAGAAGGGCTAAGTCTTCTTGGTTGTATCCGCGTTTTTGAAGTTTGTCTTTGAAGAATTCAGCCTTCTCCTCAAATTCTTTTGAGTGTGTGCATATACGGTCATATCTCATTAATTCTCCCTTAATCAAACCGCCAAACACTATATCAGGGTGGGCTGAATCTCGAGCAAGATACTGAAAGGTATCAGTTTTTTTGGTTGCTACTCGAGTATCCAGTTTCCCTTCTTTTTTGAACCGTTCGCCTTTGTAGATGACGAGGTCGAGGAAGGTGACTTGACTGTTTGAAATCTCTGACGTGAACTTGAGCGTGGGATGAATTTGGTTTAGAGTTTGGACGAGAACACCGGCTTGGTCTTCGTTACCGTTAAATATTATTAAGACGTTGTCCCTGTATATCATGTAACTCGCAATTGAAGGATTATGTGGGAGAATAATTTCTTGTTCATATTTGAACAGGGTTATATCGCATATTTCTGGACTGCATTCGCTTCCCATAGCCACGCCAATTTTCTGTCTGAAGAACTTTCCATTGAATTCAAATATGTTTCGAAGCATGATAAGTTCCAGGAGACAGCGAGCGTGTTCTCTTGTAGGTTTGGGTATTGCGTAGTACAGACTGTTATCGGCAACTTCAAGTGCATCGCAAACTGATTCAATTGCCTCATCTTGTGGGCAGTTCGTATGGACACAATGTCCAATGTGATCAATAGGATATCCTGCTTCAATGTCACGTTGTTTAGTTTTTCAAGCATATGCCCAGAATCGCGTGTATATGTGCTTTGTTGTTTGACAATCGGAAGCAGAAAATAGTCTATGTATTTTGAAATTGATTGAGTCGGACCTCCGCAACCACTAATAATTGGCCTCCCCACAAACCGTGTACAAACTGTACGACATAGCAATTTGCAACACTTTCACCGCACGGCACGCATGTCATAAATACAGTACAGGTACATGAAGAATGAAGGCGCCACCTATTGCCAAGAAAGATACAGTCACGCGACGGGCGACGGCACGACGCGACGGGCGACGGCACGACGCGACGGCACGACGCGACGGGCGACGGCACAACGCGACGGGCAATGTGTGCGTCGCCTCTTCAAGCAGTCTACTTAGAAGCGCCGAGGTAACAGGCGACGGCACGACGCGACGGGCGACGGCACGACGCGACGTACGACGGCACGACGCGACGCACGACGGCACGACGCGACGTGTGAAGGTGCGTCGCTTCCTCATGCAGTGTACGTGCTTAGAAACGGTAATTTAAGAGGCGACGGCACGACGCGACGGGCGACGGCACGACGCGACGCCACGACGCGACGGACGACGGCACGACGCGACGGTACGACGCGACGGCACGACGTGAAAGCACGACGCGACGCAGATTTGGCGTCAATAGAACACCATACCATGGCCTTCAAGGCCATGGCCTTTCACCATTGCCATCTGGGATGAACATGTACCGTAATTTTCGGAATATAAGCCGCGCGGCGTATAAGCCGCAGCACGCAAAAATCTGCAAATAAAGATTTGAAGTCGGCGTATAAGCCGCACCGGCGTATAAGCCGCACCGACCGCTGCGGTTTCAATTTTGTAAGGCCTCCAAATTCTAGTCAAAATGCTCTAAACCAGTTCCATTTACACTACAGAAGCTATTAAAAGGACCACAAAAGTTATATCAAATCATTTACAATCGAAACTTTTACAAACAAATATGGGAATTGATGAGAAATAAACAATGGGAACTGCTGCCGGCTGCCCCGTCATAGCCCGGCAGCCTGCGCCACGCACGCCGGTGAATGACAACATTTTCCCACAGCACGTGAGAGAGTATGCAACCCACCGTGTGTTGTCTGACTGGAGCGCTACAAATCTTGCTTTGTGGCAACAGATGCTGATTTGTTTTGTCCTAAGAATAAACAGGTCCGTTTTTACCGCAAAACTTATCAAATTGTTGCGATTAGTTGCGAGAAAAATTCAAGTTTCGATCGTAACTTTCTTCGGAAATAGTCAAAACGAAGCGGACATTTTAATAGACGATTCCATTAATTTTGTAAGGGGTGATTTAGTCCGTCTTTTGAGTTTTACATCGTTTCTTGAATACATTTCAAGAAAACAAAATATATTGTGACGTTGAACAACTGATTATGTAATAAAAAAATGTTTCGAACGCCATAAAAATTTTAGTGGTCTTTTTTCTTTTTTTTTAAACAGCGAAAATATTGGTAATTATTGTTCCCAAGAAAGAACACCCCTTTGTTACCACAAATGGTGTGGTCCGCTGTTGGGAAAGCATGCCTGCATATATCGCTGCTGCACTGTACCAGTATCACGTACGGCTGGTGGCAAGTGTCGAAGACAGCTTTCATCACCGTACTTTTTTACCGCTCGGTACCTTTACGTGAGACATGGTTTCGGTTTGTTAATGACTTTCTTAATTTATAATTCATTTCAGCAACATATCTCTTCTAATACCAGTACATTAAATACACATGTGAATTTCATTTTTATTCTTCAAGGCTCGGCGTATAAGCCGCCCTGTGTATAAGCCGCAGTAAACATTTTCATGGGCAAAATCAACGTATAAGCCGCGGCTTATATTCCGAAAATTACGGTACTTGTGCAGCAGATGTATGTGGGAAGTTCCATGGTAACTCACATCACATTTCGAGGGGGTCTTTCGTCAACTCTGCATTAGTATTCTTTAAAGTCAAAGCGTTTAGAATGGATTTTTCGTCACAGAATATCCCTTGAAATTAAGAAACTAAACTAAAGGAAAAGACCAACTAATGCGGTTGGGCCATAAATGTTTTTTTCATCCTTGACTCCTATTACACACAAAAAAGACAAGGCAGAAAATTAAATACCTTGCATTTGAAAGTCCTCACAATGTGCACTGATGGAAACAAAAAATATTTTCAGTGCTCGTGCATCATCAGAGTGTAAGCCATGCTCGACCATTACAAAAACATAAGCTCGACAATTACTAAAACATAATCATAACATGTACAGAGGTGTGTATTTCAGGAGCTTGTGCATACGCTAACTCACGTTACAGATTGTACGCCCATCTTTTGAGCAAGTTCAGACATGCTTACAAGCTAATAACCAACAAAAATCTTATTTGGCACAAAATATAAACCTTTTTATATTCCTTAAAAACAAAACAATCACCGTATACTTCCACCTTGCATGGACAACATGACTACATAAAAGCCAAAGTACCCACTGCCGGGTCTTGTTGTCCCCTTTAATTTGATACCCTGTTCAAGGCTGTGGTGCTATATACGAATCCTACACCATTATCATTAGCAAGGTGGTGGACACCACATCATGAACCTGCCCTTAGCAGTGTGCGACAACTTTAGCCGTCTATGTGTACACAACATGGAAGTGTCTATTGCATCCCAAAACCTTTCATTGTACATGTAAAACGAAACTCCTTTTGGTGAACAGACGAAAAAGCCCTGTTTCATAACCTCGTGCAAGTAAAACCCTTTCTTTTTATTTCTATGAGAAAAAAAATCGTTGCCTGGTGGAAATATTCCTCCATGTCTCCTCTTTCTCTACACAAACCCGCTTCATAAACGACTGCACTGAGCTTAACGACCTAATGAAACAACAGTTTTGATGCTGAACAAGTTAACAACGATCATGAGGCAGTAGAACCAACAAAAGAAACAAATAAACAAGCAAACAAGCAACCCAACGAACAGCCCAAGGAAAATAAATCAGCACTGTCAATAAACAAGTAGCATGAAATTATGGCGAATAATGTTCAAATCACTTACTAAGATACCACACCAAATTGGGGATGCAAAATCACTGCGTTCTACACTGCTAAATACTGTCAGGGTGACAATCCCAAGAATGACGGTCAAGGAACCCAAAACCATTTGACTTATTCCTGTCCATAGAATACCCTTCCAGTCACCATCTCGAGGCTGTGGGTTGACCGTGCCGACAGTAACAGGAGCTGGTTGCACCGTCACCTGGTGAATGAGGATGCTTGGGTTGAGTGACAATGATATTTTGGGAATTTATAGGGTGATAGTGGGGAGTGTTGATTGCGGTAAAATGAATTTGTCATATTTTATATAACAAAGTCAAAACCATATTAGCATATTTCGTGTAAGTGCAATGTAAACCCAACCAATAGAAATTCAATAATGTTTGACTCTTGTACACTCGCGCAACACACAAAACATGTCCTTGAGGTAGAAAGAATTTCATTTTTCTCGTGCTAAAATTACCATATGAATAGAGTCCTAGCCTGAGTACGTAAATGACATTGCGAACACCAACAGGCAACTGTATTTGTGAGTGTTTAGTCATGTATATGAGACCAATCGTATACATCTAGCTTGTACTGAATGGTACAAAGCAGGTAATGGCGACGGCATAGTAAAACCGATGCCGGATTATTATACAAAAGCACCATCACATCAATCTCAAAACATATTAAGTATCTCATAGAACTGATGACTGATAATAATAAACATATTTTAGCTGATATAGACCGTTATTTACTCAGTCTACAACATAGACCCTACTTTTCACTATACTGAACGTTCATATTTTAAATACAGGTGGAGTTGACTGACTTACCAGTTGTTGCTGGCCGACAGGCTGAGGCGCAGCCACGTAGGCAGGTGGGGCGTTGTTAGTGTTCATCATGGTAACAGAAAGTATCTCCGGATTCTGTGTAATTCAATTAATCAATCAATCATCAATCGGTCTGTCTGTCGGTCCGATTATCAACATTTGCTCGTATTTCAAACATGACTTGTAAAACGGCAAAAGAGTCGAAGCAACACAATTTATTTCGGTATTATGTTCCAGTGTGCATTTTGAGAAACATCCACTGGAAACGACTGTCTCTCTCGGCAGGCGCGAGTAAAGACCTGCTTTCCTTCCGTCTACGAGGTATAATTTAGTGGCAAAACAAAGTGAAAACAAATGCGACCGTTTTACCTTTACGCTGGAGTGATCCTGTTTCCTCAACCGTCGTCACTGCCTAGCACGGCGTACTGAACACAGCGCTTACCGACTGGGTTTGTCATGCAATAATATTGCGCACCATTACGTCATATTCTAAATTAAGCATTTGCTTAGTGGCATAAAAAGCGTCTCATCCTTCTTCCCAGGGCTCGCTTCTCCCTACGCTATGGCGCTGGTACCACCGAGTGATAAGTAATAGCCTTGCAATTCCTTGAGCTTTTATCGGATACATATTGTAAAACCCGTAACCGAAAGTCTGAACTTTCCCAAGTGCACCACCCATGCGCACGAAATGCACGTACAACTGACCTATACCCACAATGCTTTTATTAGGCGTGCTTTTAAGTCAAGTTTTTGCGTCTGGATTGAACACTTTGGATGGAGCGTGCAATGCGCTGGGGACGAGCCAAACAAAGGCAGGCGACAGATCGTAGACTGGTCCCCGGTCCCTTTACTCTAATCTGGGCAAGCCCGATTGTCGACGGAGATTTAGGAGCTTTTTATATTACACGCTGAGCTCAGGTCATATACTGTAAGTTTACATAAAACATGATCGGAATTATAAGACTGCATATACCAGCTGAGGTTTCGTGGGTCCAATACTATATTTTGTCTAGGCCAGACGAAAAGTCTTCACAACAAATATAAAAGTACAAGTACAGAATTTAAAAGCAAATTCAAACATTTGAAAATTATTTATTTAATGTTGAGCGATCAGAACCAAAACATTCTGTCTATTTAAAACCTTTGATATAGGATCTGCATAACGAAGTTGCGATAAAAAAGAAACATTAAATCATAATCACAATAAACGTGATATCATGCTTACAAGTTTGCGTGTCCATTCCCATTTGTTATTTCTTAAGACTAAAGAACATTAATTGTTGTATGGAAAGCATCCCAGAAATGAAATCAGGGGAACGGAGTTTTTAGCAGCCTGACCAAACACAAACACAACAGAAGGTCTCTCCCCCCCCCCCCCCCGGTACGGGAAGTTCTGATGCAAACAAAATTGACAGACATATTATCAAACAATAATTACTCATAATAACAATTACAAAAAAAACCGTTCAAACATCATCTTCTCATCGGGACATATCATTTGCTCATTGATACATTAGCAAAACCAAAATGAGTACTGTGTACATATAATATACAAATCTCAGTAGTACTGACTAATATAATATGTGTGAATGACAAAGCTTAGACATCTCTTTTAAGAAGAAAACAAATAAGTGTGCAACTTACGCCAAGTGCTGTTTAAGTCAACGGAACGGGTTTAAAAAGTCACAGCAGCTATATCAAGTCAGCAATCTTGCATTCTTTTTTTTTAATTTGTTTTTGCTGTGAATGCAAGAAAGCTAATGTGGGCTATTCCATCAATACCAGCTTGATCAACCAATGGATCTAATTCGAAGAAGCAGCTCGTTATGCGTTGTACAGAGAACTGTTTTTTATTTCATTATCATACAGATTCCCCAGGTGAAACATAAAACCGAAACCCCTTCCAATTTAAAAACTAAGGCAATAAATTCCATATCTAGAACCTCAAACAATTTAACATAAACTCAATATTCTGATGTGAGTTCCACCAATCAAATGACAATAATTTGTATGTCGGTTATATAAAAGCTTATATTGGTCACACCTTTATTTGTAAAGCGGTGAACCTGCTGTTGGTTAAGGCTAAATTTGGCGCCGGAGCAATTTCGAATGCACAAAACAAACAGAAAGACACTGCCTTTGGCGTTCAGTGATGGACGTCTTTGAATATGCGGCAAACCAATCAAACAAAACTAACGTGTGTTTCAGTCGGAAACGCAAAACATGCACCGAATGTCTACAGCCGAGGCTGTGATTTCGGGAATGGCACATTATTACTTTATTTAATATATACATTATGCGTAATGTTACAACAGCTTTTGAGTAAATATCTGAGTATATTATACTTTTTTTCATTGACTGCTTGATACAAATGAAGCACCTCCAACATTCTAGCTTTCATTTGAGAAAAATATTCTAAAATGGAGCCAGAGCAACATATCGCATTAGCGCTGAACCTATTTCTTGACGCGTGACTGCTAAAAGCAAAAGGTGCATCCATACAGTTTACATGAACAAGCCAAAACTTAAATTCCGTTTCAAGCCCAAGATAATTCCATCAGGTCAAAGGTCATCGATGACCTATTTAATGAGTTCTTGGTTCTGTTGCTCACCGGTTGGGGGCGCTTGAGCCTGCGGATACTGCACCTGCTGGGCTGGGTAAGCTGCATCAAAGCAGGAAAAAGTGTAAATGAAGTTTTAAGGATGAGACAGTGTAGTTAATATATACATTATCCGTTATGTAACAGCAGCTTTGGAGTAAATATTTTAGTACACTTTTTTCATTTAATACACCTTATATCAATTAAACATCCCCCACATTTCTCTTTTATGGGAAAGTTAGTATGAAAGGGAACCAGGGCAACATATTGTTTTGCCTCTTGACCTGATTCTCGACGCGTGAGTGCTATTAAAGCTAAATGTACATCCACATATACAGTTAACAAGCAAAAGTCAAGACTTAAAATTCTGTTTCAAGCACTAGATATCATGATTCCTTCAGGTCAAAGGTCGTCGATGACCTATTTAATGAGTTCTTGGTACTTTTGCTCACCAGGTGGGGGCGCTTGAACCTGTGGATACTGCCCCTGCTGAGCTGGGTAGGCTGTATCAAAACAGGAGAAGGGGGAAATTAGGAAATGAAGTTTTAAGGATGAGACGACCAGAATAGGGTGTTATACTTTCTATGAACACATATACAGAGAGAAAGACAGCTTATAGATGTTGTGAAGATTAAAAAAAAAAAGGGCTACATGGGAGAGACCACAAGCCTCGCAGTTTGATATCTGATCATTATTACTATAACTTAAAATGTTGAAAAAGACATCTCTTACCAATTTGTGGCTGGCCAGCGGGAACGTTGTAGAAGGCCGGTCCCTAAGGCTGTGTGGTAACCACCACGTGTGGTCGAGCTTGGTAGTGGATCTGTCATTATTAAGAAAAGTTATATTTCATTGGAGTGTTCTTTAATAACTTCATCGTCGTCTAATTGAATGCATCGAACTCTCTTTTCCCATCGAACTCTCTGTTTAAAGATCGATCTGTTTTTATGATTTAAGTGGCTAATTATTTTTGATTTCTGAGCAAACCAACAATCTTGGCCAAAATGGTTGGGACACTTCCTGAGCCTGCCACGGTCACCCACTCCCCGCTCCCCCAGTCAATGTTGTTCTCTCCAGCTGATGGAGCACTCACCGCGCAATGAGAGACAACATCGAACGGGGGCCGGGGGCTTGGGGGCTCAGCGATATTTGGCCAGGATTGTAGATCCATAAGGCATTTGCTTTATTATCCGAATGTTATTTTTTTCCGTTGTAACATTAATTTAAGAAAGCGATGTGAATACACGAAAACTCTATAATACCTTTATACATTTCGTCTACTAGCTTCAGTGGTATTCCATGGCATGAAACGGCGAATAACCAGATTTTTTTGGCCAGAATAAAATGGAAGTGATTTTGAAGGAAAGCAAATCAAAGGATGAAAAGGTATGCCTATATGACCTTACTTGGTAATAACTGCAATACGTGTATACATGCCTAGGTTGGATTAGACTGCTAAATTTAAACTGGAATTTTCCTCAAAAGCATGAAACAGTCACAAGTTCTCAAAAGTCCTTAATAACTTAATCACAAGGCATCATGACCAAAGTCAAGTCACAATGAGCTGTTGTATACGACCATAAAACTGGACTTGTCAACTGAATTGTAATTTTAATACTTGATCTTGATAAAACAACAAGCAATGCAGATACAGAGGATACAACTTGGTGTTGTCACAATGCAGTACCTACCACAGTCTGAGTTGCTGATCCACCACTGCAAAGGGGACCACAGGCCATGCTGGCACCAATGATGGCGACAATAAACTCCACCATGGCGAGAAGTATCAGTGTAGCAGAAACATCATTGATGGCTGCCTGCATATAATCATTGCAAGAGATATAATGTATCAGTTACCTTCACACTTTAAGGGTATCCCACAATTCAACACATATTAAACCTAAATATTTTTGCGGTACGTAACGATCCGTCTTATGAACGTCTAGGCATTTTTGAAAATCTTATAACTTCATCATACATTTTGAAGCACAAATCGCAGTTTAGAAATACTTTAAATCAAGAAAAGCGGAGGAGACGTGATTCTCATTAATATAGTGCTTCAAGAGTGAAGCAACGACGGCAAATTCAATGAGAAACTAGAGGTTATAGGAACAACCACACAGTGTTGGGCTATCATGTTTGTAGCAATCACCACAAACTTCGCCGAACACATCAACTCAAAAAACAAAATTCGACTTTTTCAACATGCCGCTAGAGGGTGCTCTAACATTTGATGACGTCACCTGTAATATTTTTGTAAAGTACAGCTTAAGCAGAGACTGACATCGTTGAAAACAAGTTCACATCAATTTTAAATTATCAGGCACTTCCGGTTTCGACCGGAAGGAAGGGTTATCCGATTTTGCACTTAATACAAAAAAATGACGACCCCACAATATTGTATCGATTGTCATAAAAACAAAATTAAATCTCTAACTGTTGATTTTTATATTGATTTTCAGAGATTAAATCTAGAAATCTTTGCTTGCGTGTAAAATGATACTTGATGACGTCATCGTGACGTCATTACCAGAAATCTCAAGAGCTATGTTACCTATGCTATATATAGCCAAATCTTGATTGTATCTGTCGCGGTTGATTTTTCAGCAATTTCGTAAGGTTTTTAAAAGGTCTTTTTATTATAACTTCTGATCTGATGACGTCATCAATGTTTTACTCGCACCGGTGTTGTATGAAATTTTGAAGCGATTACCGCACATGTCGCTACACACATCGACTGAAAATGCGTTTTTGACAGTTTTAACCTGTCGTCACCGATATTATTTGGTAAAGTTCAACATAGGCAGAGACTAACATCGTTAAAAACAGGTTCACATCTTTTTCCAAT